TGTGCATGGGTTTATCTCTGGGCTTTCTATCCTGTTCCACTGATCTGTATTTCTGTTTTTGTGCCAGTACCATACTGTCTTGATTACTGTAGCTTTGTAGTATAGTCTGAAGTCAGCGAGTCTGATTCCTCCAGCTCCGCTTTTCTTTGTCAAGATTGCTTTGGCTATTTGGGGTCTTTTGTGTTTCCATACAAATTGTAACATTTCTTGTTCTAGTTCTGTGAAAAATCCCATTGGTGACTTGATAGGGATTGCGTTGAACCTGTAGATTGCTTTGGGTAGTATAGTCATTTTCACGATATCGATTTTGATTTGTGGTTACCATGGGGTTCATATATGGTGACCTTTGTACTAGCTTATTTAATTAGTTGACCCACAGCCTTTACTATATATTTGCTTTTACTGGTGGGACTTTTTCCTTTTCTGTAAATTCTTGTTCTAGCCTTTTCCACATAGAGGAGATCCTTTAACTCTTAGGGTCAGTGTAGTATTGATGAACTCTTTTAGTTTTTGCTTGTCTGAGAAGTTCTTTATCTCTCCTTTAATTCTGAATGATAACATTGCTGGGTAGAGTATCCTAGATTGTAGGTTTTTCCTTTCAGCACTTTAAATATATCTTATGACACTCGTTTCTCGTCTGAAAAGTTTCTGCAGAAAAATCCACTGATAGCCTTATGGGGGTTCCCCTGTATGTGATGGTTTTTCTCTTGCTGCCTTTAGAATTCTCTTTTTAACTTTTGCCATTTTTTAATTATGGTATGTCTTGGTGTGGGTCTCCTTGGGTTCATCTTGTTTGGGGCTCTCTTTGCTTCCTGTACCTGGATATCGGTTTCCTTCTTTAGGCACAGGAAGTTTTCAGTCATAATTTCATCAAATACACTTTGGACTCTCTTTTTCTGCTGGGACCCTTACATGTGAACGTTAGTACACTTAACAATGTTCCAGAGATGTCTTAAACTGTCCTCATTTTTTTTAATGTGTTTTTCTTTTTTTTTAATTAATTAATTAATTAATTATTTTTGGCTGTGTTGGGTCTTTGTTGCTGCACGCGGGCTTTCTCTAGTTGCGGCGAGTGGGGTCTACTCTTCGTTGTGCGCGGGCTTCTCATTGCGGTGGCTTCTCTTGTTGCGGAGCACCGGCTCTAGGCACGCGGGCTTCAGTGGTTGTGGCACGCGGGCTCAGTAGTTGTGGCTCGGGCTCTAGAACGCAGGCTCAGTAGTTGTGGCGCATGGGCTTAGTTGCTCTGTGGCATGTGGAATATTCCTGGACCAGGGCTCGAACCTGTGTCCCCTGCATTGGCAGGTGGATCCTTTTATTTAGTTATTTATTTTTGGCTGCATTGGGTCTTCGTTGCCGTGCGCAGGCATTCTAGTTGCAGCGAGGGGAGCTACTCTTCGTTGCGGTGCACAGGCTTCTCTTTGCGGCGGCTTCTCTTGTTGCGCAGCATGGGCTCCAGGCGCGTGGGCTTTAGTAGTTGTGGCACGCAGGCTCTAGAGTGCAGGCTTAGTAGTTGTGCACGGGCTTAGTTGCTCTGTTCTGGACCAGGGCTCGAACCTGTGTCCCCTGCACCGGCAGGCGGATTCTTAACCACTGCGCCACCAGGAATGTCCCGTGTTTATCTATTCTTTTTCCTAGTTCAAGTAGCGTTCTTATTACTAATGCTTTCAACTCTTTATCTGGTAAATTATTTACCTCTGTTCCATTGGTTGTTTTTTTTTTTCATTTTTTTTCTTGTTCTTTCATTTGAAACAAATTCCCCTGTCTTCTCATTTTGCTTGGCTTTTTCTGTCTCTGTGAAATTAGGTGAAGCAGTTACCTATCCCAGTTTTTAAGGCATGTCCTTGTGTGGGAGCGTCCCTGTACGGTCTGCATGTGCCCGTTGACTTTGCTGGGAGAGCTGGAGCTGAAGTGAGGAAGAGTCATGTCTTCCCCCAGGCTGTGCTGGCAGCTGTCGCTTTGGTAGGGGGTGTGGCTGGAGATGTAAAGGGGCTGGAGCCAGAGCCAGGTGTGAGCTGGAGCTTCTCGTCTGTTCAGTGGCCATGACTGCCCTGTCAGGGCGGGTCCCAGTTTGCTGGAGCAGCTGTCCTGAGGGTCGGGTCCAAGCTGGTTCTGTTCCAAGTGTGCGCTCTCCCCGCTCCCAGCAGCGGCATCTTTGCCCCCAAAGGGGAAGCAGTGCTGGAGCAAGAGGGGCCGGAGCAGGTGCTCAGCTTGGGGGGGGGGGGGGCGGGGGCGGGGGGGGGGGCTGGGGCGATCCCGGCGAGCAGCCAGAGCCCCGGGCAGGCTTCATCTGCTTCCTCCGCCTTATTCCAGGGGTAAGCAAGCCGGCGCCCACGCCTCACGAGTGGAGTCTAGGCTTCTTACAGCCCTGCCGTTAGTCCCCCTGGTTTTCAAGCCAGCCATGGTGACTCATTCTCTTGGTGTGGATCCTCAAGGCTGGGATGCCCCAATATGTGGTCTGAACCACTCACTCCCCAGGGAGGAACTCCAAGCCCATGCAATCCCCCTCCTCCTCTGTGTCCCCTCCCAGGGGCAGGAGCCCCGACGTGATCGCTTTTCTTCCCTTCCTTCCTGACGTGATCGCTTTTCTTCCCTTCCTTCTCGAGTCCGTACGCATCTTTCTCACAGCCTTGGTTGCACAGGAGTCTTTATGCCAGTCTCCAGTTTGCTTTCAGTGTGGATGTATTTTTTATGTGTTCGTGGTGGGACGTGAGCTCTGTGCCCTACTCTGCCATCTTGCTCTCCTCTCCCTGAAAACAGATTATCTTTAAGTGCTAGCATCTCCCTCAGCATGCGACATGCTCATTAGCCTAGAGGTCTTGCCAGGGGACGAGTAAGAACTGAGACCCACTCAGAACATCCAGCTCATCTTCTGTTCAAGGTCAGAAATGTATAGGCTGAAAGGCAGAAGGAATAGCCCTCACTATTTAATTGCTATTTCTCTTTGTGTCTCGGGTGGGTGGGAATTCCTCTCTGTTGGGATTTGAGGAAAGTTAATAACTATGTTGAGTCTTACTCGTTTTCACTATTTTTCTTTAATTAAGCCGGTGATTCTTGGTGGGACTTTAAAACAGATTACTAAAGTTTGGGAGTTAGGATTCGGAGTAAATTTTAGTTTCTCTCTGTATTTTTCAGAGATGGAAAGCAAGGCTGGGGAAAGTTATCAGAAGCATGACTTGTGAACTGCAGAACAAGTGAAGAGAGTGGGACTTGGGTTGGGGGGGAGGGTGGAGCAGCAAGGCCAGGGGAGGTTTCCTGAAGGACAAGACAACTAAACAGAAGCTCAGAGTGTGTGACGCGTCAGCCAGCGAGGGAAGCAGTCGGGAGCGTTTCAGGCAGAGGGTCCGTGCCAGGGGCGGAAGCAGGAGAAATAGGACGAGCCAGCCTTGTGAGCTGCGCTAGCACCTGGGGGTTGGGTCTGAAAGCAGTGGAGAGCTACTGACCGGTGTAGGCAGACTGCCTTTTAGAAAGAATCCGGTAACTTGGAGAATACATTGGAAGGGACTAATCTGGGGTACGGGCGAGGGGCACCACCGTTCTGGGAAGGAGCCTCAGTTATGACTGACTGCGGGACGCGTGGCAGCTTCTCCCTCGGCCGTCGCCGCGGCAAGCAGCAGACCTGGACCCGGCCTCTCAACTCAGTCTCCTCCCTCCTCGTCCCACACGCGCCTTTGCTTGTGTTTGTAGGTGGCTGAATCCCACTCTGGCCGGATTAAGTGAAAAAATGGAAACGGGGGTGGGAGGCGAGGCGTGGTGGGGAAGCCATTGGGATTTGTCTGCCAGCCTTCAGGTGAGAACGGGAAACCCAAGCCGCCGCCCGGGACCCCCAGCCCACGGGGTTCTCGGACGTTCTTCTCAGCCCCACAGCCCGGGGATGCGCTGTCTCTCTCAGGTCAGAATCGCAGACCCCGAGCTCGAGCAGAGTGGACTTGGTGGTCTTCAGCCACGGCTTTTGGGGGCGGGGACACGCGGCGGGGGCCCAGCTGTGTAAGGGCCCTGCCAAGAGCCCCCCAGAAGCTCCCAGCGCGGTGACTTGTGGCCACGTTGCTTTTTCTTGCCTTTGGGGCTGGAGTAAGCCTAGAACCAGGCTTCCGTTTTGAGGCTTGCTTCAGCATCTTACCTGTTATAAATGCTCAATAGATTAATTTTTAATTTTTAAATTAAGTATTAGAGTAATGTGTCATAACATTTGACCTTTCATTTTTAATTCTTGTTCCCAGAAGTTAAAGGCTCACTGACAGACTAACCCCCCCCTTACTTCTGACTCGTAAACCAATCGGTTTGTGCTTCTGGTCCTGGAATAACAATCCGAATGCGTGGTTTGCCGTAGTAGCTGCTGGAGTGAGGGTCCCCCGCCTGGTGGGGGGGAGCAAGGACCCAGGCCAGGTACCCAGTCAGCGGGTTCGTCACAAGAGGCCCGGTAGTGCTGGAACCGCCTTCCTCCACGACACCTGGCTTGTTCTCTGCTCAGCAGGGACGGTCCCCAGCCCGAGAGCCGTCCTGTCACAGCTCAGGGCGGCGTTTCTGGGTCCCTCGTCGCCGGGTTGCCGACGCCGTCGTCTTTGTTTAGGGAGCTCCGGGACGAGGAGCTGGGGAGGCTCTGTGCCCGGGTCTGTGCGCTACTGCAAGAGGAGGACTGGGGTCCCGATGCCCAGGACGCCCTGCGGAGGCTCTTCCTCATCATCTCGGCCACGAAATACAACAGGAGGTGAGGTGAGCGCGCGCGTCCCTGGGGCATCGCGGGGCGGGGGGCACTGCCTGGCCCGGCCCCGGGGGGGGGGGGGGTGACACGCCCCCTCCCCCCAGGCTGGAGAGGCCTTGCATGGCACTGCTGCAGACCACTCTCTGCTCGCCCGCCTGCCCCGAGCCGCTCCAGCTGCTCTGCACCGCTGTCCTGAGAGAGATGTCGCCCTGCGACAGCCTGAGCCTCTCCTGCGACCACATCCAGGACACGCGGCAGCTGGGCCTCGTGGCCTCTGTGCTCTTGGCCCAGGTAACGTGACTGCCGCCGCCCTGCCCTTGGTGGCCCTGGGGCCTCGGTGAACCAGCAGGCCGCGTGCTCCTTGTGGGGCGGGCAGGCTCGGCTGGGCCCTTGTCACCCAGCAGCCCTCCCCCCTCCGCCCCCATTCCGGGTGGGGGGATGAGCCAGGGCTGTGAGGCTGATTCAGGCTGCGGGGCCGGGGCTGCCCTCGTGACGTTCCGGACGCCCGAACCAGGTGGCGTTCGTGACGCGCAGGAACACGTTCCACTGTGGGGTTTGCAGGGTGACCAACAGCAGGTCAGGAGCTTGGGCCAGCGCGTCCTCAAGGTCCTGGAGAGCCGGCAGCCCGAGGGGCCCAGCCTGAGGCACCTCCTCCCTGTCGTGTCCAAGGTCACCAGCCTGGCCCCGGACGCCCTCCGTGAAGGTCTGCACACACCCTGCCACCGGGGGCAAGGGGCCGCCAGGGCTGCTGCGGGTTCCTAGGAAGACCTGCGGCAGCCCAGGCAGCGCGAGCCTGCGGGACTTAACTCGGTTCCTACGGTGTCACCCCCGCCCTGCACAGAGCAGACCAGGGCGCTCAGCAAGCGGCTGGGGGACTGGCTCCGCTACGCCAGCGTCCAGCAGGCGGTCGCCCACTCCTCCGGGGGCTTCTTCTCCACGCCTAGAGCCCGGCAGGTGAGGCTGGGGCACTCGGAGCTCCGTGTCCCTGGGCCGCCTCAGCCGGCCTGGCCTGCAGTCCGCCACCTGCTCCTCCTTACTCGTTCCAGAACGAGCGCTCTCTCCTCGCTCCACTCGGGCATGCGGGGGCGCCTTGGGTCACAGCCCCCCGAGCCTGTGACGCGCTCTGTGGGTTGAGGCCCGGAACACGCGGGCAGGGACCGTATTTGACCGAGGGCTGCGTTTTCAGCTCAAGTGCCTGCACTCACGCACCCTGGGTGGGGGCGGGGTGCCCGTGGTCCTGGAGGAGCGTGGATGGCCAGGGCGGTGGCTCGTGCCCCATGCCGCCTCTTCTCGGCCCTTCCCGGGCCCTGCGGCGCCAGCTGACCTTCCTTGCCTCCTGCAGCTGGGCCCTGTCACCGAGGTGGACGGGGCAGTGGCCACGGACTTCTTCACTGTGCTGTCCACGGGCCAGCGCTTCACAGAGGACCAGTGGCTGAATGTGCAGGCCTTCTCCATGCTGCGGGCCTGGCTGCTGGACAGTGGCCCGGGGGGCTCCAGCGCCCCGGATGCAGGTAGGACGCAGGCAGGATGTGCTGGGCCCCTTGGCGACATTGGCTGAGCCTCGTGGTCTCCAGAAGGCCTTTCGCAGACGAGCTGAGAAGCCAGATGTCGACAGGACTGTTCAGACAGCTTTTCCAAACTCTTCCTCCTCTGCAAGCCCACTAGCAGTTATAGACAGTCTGGGCTCACCTACACCACCGTGTCCAGTTGGGGTGGCAGCAGGCGGGAAAGGGCGCAGGCCTTGGCAGTCGGCAACGGCAGCCCTCCTCGCACCCTGCGGAGGTCCTTCTCTGTCCTGAGCCCTCGTTCTCTCTTCCAGACGACAAGTCGGAGCTGGAAGGCTCCACCCTGTCCATGCTCTCGGCCACCTCCACCGCCGGACACGTGCTGCCGCCCCAGCAATGGCTGCGGGAGAAGGCCTTCGAGTACTGCCAGCGCCTGCTGGAGCAGAGTAACCGGCGTGAGTCCCAGGGCCACCCTTCCCGTCCGCGGCCCGTGGTGCTCAGTCCCCACCTCGTGTCTGCGCTGCGGTCGCTCCCAGCTGTGGGCTCCCCAGCCTCTCCTCCAGCTTCCAGAACACGGGGCACCTTCTTGTTTGGCTGTTCTGATGGGGACACAGAGACCAGGTGGCTTTCTTCCCTCCCCCAGGAGCCCTGAAGAAGGCAGACTCAGACCTGCAGAAAGCAGTGAGTGCCGGGCGGGCGGGCGGGCGGGCGCTCCCTCCCAGCTCCGTCTGAGCGGCCTCCTTGGGTCCCCGCAGTGTCTGGTGGAGGCTGTGCTGGTGCTGGACGTGCTCTGCCAGCAGGACCCCTCTTTCCTGTACCGCACCCTCTCCTGCCTGAAGTCTCTGCACACGCGCCTGCGCGGGGACCCAGCCTGGGTGCGGGCGCTGCTGCCCGTCGCCCAGTTCTTCCTGCACCACGGTGAGCCTCCGCCCTCCCGTGGGAGCAGACCTGCTCGCGGGGAGGGCGGCTTTCCTCTGCACGCTGCCCCCTTCCTTCGTCTGTAGAGCAGCACTGATCTGATGAGCCTTTAGCACTTCGATGGGAACTTTTAGATGGACTTAAGTAGCAAATTAAAACGTTACCAAGTCTGTGTTGATCTTGAACTCTCTTTGCCACGAGAGTTTCCTGGAAGGTGCTGTGAAACCAGCCCCTTCCAAGGAACGATCCCCGTAGCGTACCCGTAGCGTAACCAGAGGGTGGGTCTGTGGCCAGAGACACCTGGGAAGACCCAGATCCGGCTCAGCTGGCTCTTCCCGTGCTTGCGAAGGGCGGACATGTCTGCCTTTGGTGTCCCCCAGACACGTGTGGCCCTGGAGGCTCGGCCCGAGGTTCGGGGGGCCCCGGCAGCACCCGAGGCCTTCTGCCCTGACGGAGCCCTCTGCCTTTCAGGGGAGGCCGCCGCAGTGGATGCGGAAGGCGTCTACCAGCACCTCTTCACCAGGATCCCCGCTGAACATTTCCACAGCCCGATGCTGGCCTTCGAGTTCGTCCAGTTCTGCAGGGATAGCCTGCCTCTGTTTGGCAGAAACCTTGGCGTTCTCAGGACAAGCTTCCCCAACCTCTTCAAGGCATGCTTGGTCATCCATGAACCAGAGCAGGGGCTTGGGGGCCTGGGGTGTGCAGGGCCCCTGGGGCAGTGTCCTGGCATGGGCTGGGGGCGCCCATGCCCTCAGGAAGGCGAGGTCGGGCCTGGCTTGGTGGCTGGGCTCGCAGAGTTGGTTCAGGTTAGCATCTCTTCACTGGGGAGCGTTGCCGGGTGTGTTCAGCTATTTGGCACCTTTGTCTTTGATGGGTTTTTTTGTTTTTTTCCTGTATTTGGCTGCATTGGGTTTTTGTTGCTGCGCGCAGGCTTTCTCTGGTTGTGGCGAGCAGAGGTTATTCTTTGTTGCGGTGTGCGGGCTTCTCATTGTGGTGGCTTTTCATTGTGGAGCACAGCTCTAGGCATGTAGGCTCAGTAGTTGTGGCGTGCAGGCTCAGTAGTTGTGGCACGCGGGCTTAGGTCCTCTGCAGCATGTGGCATCTTCCCGGACCAGGGCTTGAACCCGTGTCCCCTGCACTGGCAGGCGGACTCTCAACCACTGTGCCACCAGGGAAGCCCTGATGTGTCTTTTGTGATTGGCGTGTCACTGCATGGCCTTTCCAAAATCAGAGACTGAATTCTTTAATCAGGAAAATAAACGATGACAAATGGAAAGTGATTTGATGGTTGGTACAAAAGTGAGTGCAGAAGCAAAAAGAATAAGGGGGAAGAAAGTTGAGGGGCATATTTTCCAACTCCTGGGTCACAGTGAAACATGAGGAGGTGGCAGGGCTGGCCATGCCCTCCGGGCTCCCACTGGAGCTGCCCTGCTTGTCCCCGCAGTTCCTGGCCTGGAACAGCCCGCCCCTCACCTCTGACTTCGTGGCGCTGCTCCCATCGCTGGTTGACGCAGGGACGGCCGTGGAGATGCTCCACCTGCTGCTGGACCTGCCCTGTCTGACCGCAGCCTTGGACCTGCAGCTCAGGTGAGCCCCTGCCTGGCCCCGCTGCTCACTGTTCTGACCGTGTCTGCCCTGTCCCTGTCCCTCCTTGCCCGGCTGCTCCTGCTGTCTCCCAAGCAGCGTGTCTCTGCACCTCTTCGCCGCCCCGACGGCAGCCCCGGAGTCCAGCCTGTCTTTCACTCAGCCGCGCAGCCTCCCAGGGGCCCGGCCCCCAGGCCTTTTTGGGTCATCCTGCAGCTCCTGGCTGGATCAGGGCACAGTGATGTTACGGTGACGTCCGCTCTAGTCTCTCCCTGGCCAGTGGGTACCGCGAGGGCAGGGGCGAGTCCAGCTTCTTCTGGCCTGGACCAGAGCCCACATGCGAGCCCGGCCTCAGGAGTCTCTCTGCTCGCAGGTCGCTGCAGTCTGCATCCGAAAGGCCACCCTGGGACGTCTCCATCAGGGCCCTCGGCTGCCTGGAGGCCCTCCGGGACTCGCAGGTCCAGGGTCTTTTCCAGCACCTGCTGCGTGCCCACGCCAGCGGGACCGTGGAGAGGTAGGGCTCGCTGCCGGGCGTCCCAGGCCCCACGTGGGACACGAGAGCTCCCTGAGGCCTTGAGGCTGGGCCCTGGCATCCGCCCCAGGCCTGGTGCCTTCTGACCTGGAGAGACAGCTCTGGTGACCCCCACCCAACAGGCGCTGGCCACGTGGCCAAGCGCTTCCTGGGCACCTGGCTTGTGGTCTGCTTGTTCAGTTTCCTGATCCCGTCCTTGTCGCCCTGTGGGGTAGGCACTGTGCTGACTCCTTGCCACAGGTGGGGAAAGGGAGGCTTAGCACATCCTAGGGGCGGGAGGGCCAGGACTGGACCACGGCCTCCTGCCCCCAGCCGCATTCCAGCCCTCCCGTGTGCCACGGGAGCAGGGCGGCCGCAGAGGGAGCAGGCCGTGCATTAGGAGATGCGCAGGGTGGCCTCTGATGAGGGCAGAGCAGGCGCTTCCAGAGCCGGGTCCCCAGGCGGACGGGGAACAGGCGTGTGCTCAGGGCCGGGCCGTGTGTCCCCAGGTTGACGCCGCTCTACCGGCTGCTGCAGCCCCTGGCCGGCTGCGCCCGGGTGGTCCAGTGCGCCGAGGCCGTGCCCACCCTGCTCCGGGCGTTCTTCTCGGCGGTGACACAGGTGAGCCCGCTTCCTGGGGCCTCTGTCCCTGCAGCAGAGGGCCGGCTGGAGCTAGGACCCACAGGGCCCCAGCTTCCTCAGTGGCCAAGGGGCCGGTCCATCACAGCAGACAGGGCAGCTCACACCAGCCCCAGCCCGGCTCCTGTCCCTCCCAGAACTGGGGCCGAGAGAAGCCCCCAGGGCAGCAGCCAGCCAGGTCCGGAGCAGAGGTGTTCCCTGGGGGTGGGACGCAGTCTCTCTCTCTCTCTCCCAGTTTGCTGACGGGGCCCTGGCCAGCCAGCTGTCACTGCTGCTCCTGGAACGAAGCGACTCGCTTTACCAGGTCCCGGGGTATGAAGCCAGTGTGCACAGGTGGGTCCCTCCTGGCGGGCTTCGCCCCTCCTGCGGCTCCATGGCCCAGCCCTGGACGGGTTCACTGACCCCGCGCTCTCTGCCCCTCACGGCAACGGTTCCCCAGCTGCCACAGACCCCAGCCCAGCTTCGGCACTTCCTCAGCCACTGTACGGACCCTTCCCTGCCCACCCAAGCCCCTCTTCCACGGAGCCTTCCAGAACATGTGTCCCCCTTGCTGAAGGCCCAGTTTATGCGGGCTCATCCCTGCTCCAGCCCAGCCTCCTCCCTGGTGGGGCAAGAGGTTCCTGGCAGGGCTGGGACTACCTTTACCTCCACCTGGTGCTCGGGGGCTTCCCGCCACTGCCCAGCTCTTCTCGGGACGGGCCGCGGGGCTGGGGTCTGCGTGGGGCGAGCACAGCCCACGTGTCCTCTCTGGCAGGGTGCTGAGCTCCCAGTTCCCGGCCTTGTGCAAGCTGCATCCTCCACTGGTGGTCGAGCAGGCAAAGGAGCTGCTGGAGTTTGTGGGCGGCCCCCGCAGCGGTGGGCACGTGCTCACATCCGTGGTAAGGCAGCCGCTGTCCCGCCCCAGCCTGCGCCTGACGTGCAGGCCTGTCACAGGGCTGAAGTGCTGTCCCCCACCCAGGTGTGGGCCATCGGCGAGTACCTGTCGGTGTCCTGGGACCGGCGCTGCACCGTGGAGCAGATCAACAACTTCTTCGAAGCCCTGGAGGCCCTGCTCTTTGAGGTCACCCAGTCGCGGCCCTCCACCACCCTTCCCAAGTGTCCTCCGCAGGTCATCACTGTGCTCATGACCACACTGACCAAGCTGGCCTCTCGGAGCCAAGACCTGATTCCCAGGTACCAGTTCCCGGTGGGCAGAGGGAAAGCTACAGGCTTCCCGTTGGGAAAGGGAACAGCTTTGGAGGTTGTCCTGTCCCCCAAAGCCCTTCTGATTGGACGCATGTGGCGTGGGCTGTGTCAGCACTGCCGCCTCACCTCTCCCAGCCAAGACCACGCTAGCTGGGTGCTCCTGGCAGCTGGTCCCTCCACGACACCCCTGCCCGCGTGAGGGGTGCGCCTGCAGCTGACGGGCTGGGACTCCCTCATCCCCAGGGTCTCCCTGCTCCTGTCAAAGATGAGGACCTTGGCCCAGAGCCCAGCCGCGGGCCCCGTGCCCGGTGAGGAGGGCGCGCGAGCCGCCCACACGCGGGCCACCGAGCTGCTAAACCTGCTGAAAATGCCCAGCGTGGCCCAGTTTGTGTTCACGCCCAGCGTGGAGGTGTCCGAGCCCCGCTATCACCGTGACACCAACACGGCCCTGCCCCTGGTCCTGCGTACGGTCAGCCGGCTGGTGGAGAGGGAGGCGGGCCTCCTGCCAGGGTGAAGGGACCAGGTGGATGCCGGGCAGGGCTGCAGGTTGAGAGCCTGGTATTACCAGCCATGGCTTCAGTGGTCAGGGAGGCTGTCACAGTCTCAGCCTTTGGCCTCTGTGTGTCTGTCTTTCTTTCTTTTTCTCTTTTCTCTTAACCCCCTTCTCTCGGGACCACACTGAGCTGTGTAGTGACACAGCACTGATTCTCGGCTTTAGCTCCTCTTGGGACTGGGTGGAAGCTGCCTGGTCTGTGTCCTGCCGGTCCTTGTTTGTTTGTTTGGGGGCAAGAAGAGATACTGCGAAAATAAATCTTTACAAAATGGCTGCGTGAACGAGAAGGGGTCTGTTCTTCTTCCCTCCACCCAGGAAGCAGGGAGCCCTACGGGCAGCCACGCGGCTGCTACAGAGCCCAGGGGACACAGTGCTGCTGGGCTGGGAGAGCCGGCCGTGGGGCTGGGGGGGGGGCCTTCACCTGATCCCCATGTGTCAGGGCCGAGCCCCATTCAGCCCATGTCCCAGATGGTACAGAAACCACAGATCACTAACAGACACATGCGGTCAGTCAGAAAGGAAGAAGCAGTGTCGACCTCCCCGAGGTGGCAGCTGCCACGGGGGAAATGGGTTTGGTCAGTGACATTATTTTAGATATTCTCCTGCTCCTAAGTTGAAGACGATAAGGCTGGGGCTCTGGGGCTCCTGCTGGGTGGGCTGGAGGTGCTGTCAGTCACCTTTGCAGACGTGCAGCCTTCTACGAGCAGGGGTAAGGGCAGGGCACCCACCAAAGTGTTCCCAGTGACCACCCTACCTGCCGCCAGAAGCCTTACTGGGAGCAAGTCCGGGTGCGCTTTGCTCTTACACCACTTGGGGGAGACACCCCGTCCTCTCAAGCGCTTTCTACCACTGTTCCGTTCAAGTCAGGCCCTGCCCCGCTTGTAAACCAACCCCCAAGGCTGCGCCCCAGCTCCCCGGGCACCTGGCGGGGCTCGGCCACCAGGTGGTGCTGCTGCTTCGAAAGTCCCAGCCCACCCGCTCCGCCGCGCCCAACATCCAGGCCTACTCCTGGCCACGCCCCCAGGTTCCGGCCCTGCCCCTCACGGGCTCCGCCACGCCCCCAGGCTCCGGCCAGCTCCTGCCTCCGCCCCCGGCCGGTTTTGCCTCCCAGACGCCCTAAGAAACACCCGCCGCCGAGGAAGCTGATGGGGGCCGGGCGGGTGCCGCAGGGACGGACGCCTCTGGCTGGCGTCCCGGCCCCAGGATGCTTTCCGAGAAGCAACAGGTGGTGCGCGGAGCAGAGCCGTGGGGCACTGGTGCGGGGCGTGCCAAAGAACACCTGACCCTCCCAGGATGGGACCAACCCAGCCCTGCGAGCCCCAGCGACACCCTTCGCCCACCCGCTCGGGCTGCCCGGCCCGGCCCGACCCGGCCCACCCGGCCCTGCCTGGCCCTCCGGACTTGGGTCCAGGGAGGCCAGGGTTGAGGATGTGACACCTAGAGAAAATGCTTTTTTTCAATTTGCCAAGATGCCAATTAATGCTTAGCTTCAGTTTTTTCACGTTCGTTCAGACGTTTCAAGTTTGGGTCTCAAACGTGCCTACGAACCAGTTTGAGAATACGGATTTTGAGGGGACTTTTTTCCCTGCTTCACACGGAGCCAAGGCCGCTCTAGAAACGTTCCCTTACCATTGTCTTTGCAGGGTAGACTTCTGTGGTGGCTGGGAGTCCAGTCCAGCGACGCGAGTGCAAATCCGGCGGGGCTGGGCTGTCCCAGGCGTGTCAGCCGCAGCGGCAGAGCCGCCGGGGGCCTCGGAGGCCGTGAGGACACGGGCTGGGCTGCGGCCCGGAGGATGGCGCGCGAGCAGGGCGCACTCACCTGGGCCGGGCGCCCACTGCAACCGCGCCGAGGGCGGACCAGGGTGGCTGCTTCCAGAGGTTGGGTTCTGTCGGGTTGTCCTCACAGCACTTACAGCGCTGGCCGACTGATGTAGAAAATGATAGTCCCATTGTGTTCCACTTTCCTCGTCTGCAAATGGGGATAATCACAGTGCTGACCTCAAAAGAACATCCCGGGAATGAAGTGTGTCCTTCCCTGCAGAGGGCTCGCAGGGCTCTCAGCACCCGCTCCCTGCCAGCGAGAAGCGGAGCTCGGAGGTCTTCCCCCCTTCCCTGGGGCCCCAGCCCTCCCAGGGGCCCCAGCCCTTCCCTGCCCGAACTCTGCGGTATGCAAGGGGTTCCCCCCCCCCCGCCCACTCCATGCAGCTCCGCGGGGGGCGGGGGTGGGGTGGTGCTCGGCAGGCCTTGGGTCAGCCGCCAGCCTCCCTGAACTTGTGCCCTTGTTTCTGTTTAGGGCTTTCAGAATTTGGGGAGGGTTCAATTGCACGTTTTAACTGACTTTTTAAAGTACATTTCATCCAGCGTTTTGGGAACTGCTTCAGGTCAGGTGGAATCTGGACACCTGGTACTGGGCACCCGCAGGCCCGGGCCCCCACCCGCACTCCCTTCTGCGCCCACAGCTGCCCGAGGCCCAGTGCCTGGGACACACCTTCCGGCCGCTGGCCCCTCCACGAGACCCCTTTCCACGTAAGGGGTGTGTCTGCAGCTGCCTGGCCGGGACCCTCTCGTCCCCAGAGTCTCTGTTCCTGTCGAAGAGGAGGACCCCAGCCCAGAGCCCAGGGAGGCGCACACTGCCGAACCTGCCGAAGACACCCAGCCGGGAGGTGCCCTGCCTGCTGCCACTGTGACACCAACACGGCCCTGCACAGGGTCAGCGGCCGGTGCAGGAGGCGGGCCCCCCCACCAGGGTGAAGCAAAGGCCACCAGGTGGACACCAGCCGGGCCGCAGACTGAGAGCCTGGGACCGGCCAGCCTGGTATTAGGGCCCAGCCATGGCTTTAGCGACCAGAGAGGACATCAGGAGGGGTGTGAGTCTGAGGGAGGAAGCCTGGATACCCAGTGGGTCAAGACTCTCACTTTACAACCTTCTGGGGGGTCCAGACCCCTTCTTTGGGACGTGCTGAGTGTGGTATCACCGAGGGTGCAGCCCCCTCTGATGGGGGCGGCTCTGGCCCTTTCCCTCGGCGGCCGGGGGCTGTCTGCATCTCCCCCGCTGCTCCTTGTTTGCGGGCAGAGTGGAGGGCAGGCGAGGAGCGAGTTAGAGCCATCCCGGCACCCCAGCGAGCCCCGTGTCCCCCCCGGGGACTCTCCCGCGCTGGCAGGGAGGGAGCAGTTCTTCGAAGGGCACCGCCCCACGTCCAGCAACCCTTCTAGGGGGCCAGCACGGTGCCCACCCAGACTCCACGCCCCGCCACCCTCTACAATACGAAAGATAGTTTATTGAATCTATAACACTCAAATCTTCAAACACGAAGGCTCTGTGACAAACATCACAACTTAGTGTTATCTGTCATATCAATAAAATAAAATGTACACTAGGGACTGCGGCTAGCGTCCTGTGGGCGACACAGCCACACCGAACAGTCTGGCAGAAGGGGCCGTAACCTGGGAGCCGCAGGTGTAGGTGCTCGGGCCGCCCCTGCACGGCGCCTAGGGAGGGGGCGTGCGGAAGCGGATCTTCTTGGCCGTTTCCACGTCTGACTTGGCAACCAGAAACCGCACCTTCTTTCCCCCGTGTCGGATCAGATCCACGGCTCTGAAAGCAGAGAAGGGGCGGGGACGGTGTAGAAGAGCCCTCTGGGTGAGGACTCACTGCCGGTCCGGCGGGCAGAGCCTCCTGGAGGTGCTGGGGGGCGACCCAACCCCCCACCCCGCAGCTGTCACCCCAAGTGGACAGTTACAGTCAGCAACCCTGAGCCCCGCGTGCTGTGACAGAGCTTCGGGATCACGGAGCCTGCGCTCTCGCGGCCTGGTCCAGAGCCCGCCCCACCCCAAGGTGCCTGAGCCCCTGCGGGGACTGGTGTGTCATCAGAGGGCCAATGCGGGGGAAGGGCGGGAGGTGGCCATTGGGAGCCAGGCCGGACGGCTGTGCCTCCATTTACTCAGCTCCAACGTCCCAAGGGTGGATGTGGCCTCCCACAGGCCGAGGGGTGGGGGAGGGGGCAGAGGAGGCCGCGGGGGGCAAGGCGCGGTACCTCAGATAGCTGACGCCCACCAGGCTGCTGCCGTTCACCTCCAGGATGCGGTCTCCCAGCGACAGCCGCCCGTCGGACGCTGCGGGGCTCCCCGGGAGCAGGGTCTGGATGTAGAGCCCTGGGGCGCCCAGGGGTGTGTGCTGGGGGAGAAGCGGAAGCCTCAGAGCTCCGTGGGCCCCTCGCACACAAGGGTCTCCAGGCAGGGCCACCTCCGCCCCTCCCCCGGCCTGGCCCGGTGGGGCTCACTGTATGGTCGGTCACCAGTGTGTCTTCGAGGACAGCGCTGGACACCATCAGAGTCCCCGCAGGCCCAGGACAAGTGCCACGAGGCCTGAGGGTGCAGGCGGTGGGCCCGTCTCTGGGAAAGAGGAGGAGCCTGGGGGCCTGCAGGAAGTGGCGGGGCAGCTCACTCACCATCCCATCGATCAGGCCCATGCCCAGCCCAGAGGGGCCTCGCTCTAGCTCCACCACGAACATGTAGCAGAAGTCGTCCGTGCTGGAGCTGTGGCTGGAGGAGGCTGGAGGGGGCTCGGCCGCCGGGGCTGCACAGTCTCCTGGGCGGGCGAGAAAAATGCAGCGGAGTTAGGTAAGGTCAGGGGCCGGCGGCTCAGTCCTCTGTCCTGACTCTGCCACGGGGGCCTGCGCCTGCCCAGGAGTCCGGACCCAGGGACATCCTGGCTTGGCTGCTCCAAAGAGACACGTGCTCACAGAGGTCCAGAAAGATGCCCATCTGGCCAGAAGGGAAAAGCCAGACCCGGACCACCATCAGGGTGACGGGGGTCAGGCCACCCTGTACTGCCCCGGGACACCGGCCCCGCTCAGAGGCCGGGTGCTTCCGGAAGGCTGAGAAGGGGGCTCTGCTTTCCCTCTCCCTGCCCTCTCCCACCGCACTTCTCAGCGGTGACCCCACGTCTGTCCCTCCGGAGCTGGGGCTCTTTTCAGCTGGGCCTTGCTGCTCCCCACGCTGAGGGTCCTGCGCCCTCTCTCTCCCCACGAGGTCAGTCGTGGCGCCCTGCCGGGGCACCCCCCAGGTCGCTGAGAGGTGTCCTGCCTCAGGCCCAGCTCGGTCCCAGTGACCCCTGCCCTCAGGGCACCCTCTAAGCTTGGCGCGAGCACTGAGGACTCACCGGGGGCCAGGCGGGGCTGGGGGATGCTTGCCCTTTGTTGCCCTCCAGCCCGGCCAGCCCAGTGCCCACACGCCCAGGGCTCCACTCCCCCGCCCCGCCCCCCACCGATCCCGCTTGGCCTCGCATCGGCTCTGGGGCTCAACACACCTCATGGGGCCATCCTTCCTCTCCCCCGGGCGGAGTGAGTCCCCGAGTCCCCAGCTGCCCGGGCCTGAGCCACACGGTGCCCTCCCCAGCTGCCCCAGGAGCCTGTCCTGTGTCCAGGGCAACAGGCGTTCGTGGGCAACTCTGACAGCCCGGGCCAGACGCGACACCAGGGCCCCGCAGGGGAAGGACCCCGAGGCAGTTGCCCAGGCGCCAGCAGGGCCAGGACTGGGGTGCGGGCCTGGCTCGGGGCTCACCTTGCGGGGCTGCGCACCCCGGGCCACTCGGCCCGTTCCTCCTCCCTTCCAGAAGCACTTCCCCACAGGCACTGCTGGCTTCTGGCCAGTCGGGGACAGCGGGCTCCAGGCTGAGCGGGGTGCCGGGAGGCGTGAGCAGGCATGAGGGGTCCCCGTGTGGGTCCCCGGCCTGGGCCCCCCCGCGGCTCACGCGGCCTGGTGGCCTTCCCAGAGGGCCCTGTGCCTGGGGGTCCCCCGCGGAAGGAGGAGTGCGCTCCAAGCCGGCCTCACGGGCTCCCCTGCCGGGGTCCCTGGAAGCCAGGGGGCGGCTCTGGTCCTCAGGGTGGCCCTCGGGGCTGGTGTGTTGCGGGCCCTGGGGGAGGGGGGAAAGAACTCAGCACCAGGCAACTCGATGTGCTGGGAGGACAGAGGGGCCCCCCAAGCCTCCGCGGCTTCGGGACCCCCCCGCTCCTGCATCCACCCCGGTACCTGGAGACACTCTGGCCGCGCGGGCCTGCCGCCGGGGCTGGGCTTGCTCTGCAGGCTCCACAGGAAGTGGCGGATGTAGAGGAGGTGCTGGTGGAGGCTGTCGTCCAGGCAGTCGGCCTCCAGATCCACCTGGAAGCCCTCGCTCGGCAAAACGATGGGTGGGGGGTTTTCATAGGACTCCAGGACCTCCTCTGCAGGGGCGAGGGCGGCGTGACCCCCCAGCCAGGAGGCAGCTGCCCGGCCACCCCCGCCTGACGCCATGGGACCCCGGGGACACAGGAGGGGCCGCACAAGCCCATAGGGCGCTCTCACACCTCCTGAGTCCCAGCGAGCACCCGGGATGAAGCCCCGGCGCCACCATTTGGCACTTGGGCCCCACGCCACGACCCCTGCCTGCGGCCCCCGGCTCCCCCGGGCCCACTGCACACCCCAGCCTGGAGCCCAGCTCACCCGGCCCAGACACCAGCACCCCAGGCCGCCACCTGCTCCTGCCGGGCCCCCGCGGCCACGCCGCCTGCACCACGCACGTGTCACCGGGCTGAGCACAGCCTGCCTAAGTGCTGGCCTCCGCACGAGGACACACGCGCCTTCCAGACGGAGGGAAGACGGCAGCCCCCGCCTTGCTCCCGGCGCCCAGCACAGAGCCCCCTCCCTCCCTCCGCGGAAGGCCTTGGACGTGAACCAGTAAACGGGGCGGGGGAGGGCGCCCAGGGCCCAAGCCCCAGGTGACCAGGCGTCGGAAGCCCTACTTCTATCTGGATCTTCCCCAGTCCTTTACTTTCCGTTTTTACTTGTGTTATAATGTACATACTGCTAATGAGGAGATACAAAACTAACTCATAAAAATATACACACATGTATGTACGTCTGTCTCCACATGTAACACACCCAGGGCAAGATTGCTCAGCACCATTTCCCGACAGATTGTGCCATGGCACCCGGTGTGGAGACCCTGCTCTCCTCCTGGTGGCCGTGCACCCAGCGAGGCCCCATGAGGGGCAGTGGGGACCTCTGACCTGAGCTGAGAGCCTGGGGGCAAAGGGGAGCCTCCGCCCTGGGCCGTCTTCCTCCTCGGGTGTCCTGCCCTGTCCCCCGACCTGAGGACCCAGGGACCTGGGGGTCAAGGAGCCCCCGGGCCACACCCGAGTTCTGAGCTCCAGCCGGAGGAGAGGCCTCACCTGACTTGAAGGCTGCGGGGCTGTCCTGGGCACCCGGCTCCCAGGCGCTCATGGGGCCCATGGCCGAGGCCAGCTGGTACTGGGTCAGCAGGCGGTGCAGCTGCGCGGGGCTCAGGGCAGGGAACGCGGCCCGCAGGTTCGCCCAGCTCATCTGCTGACGAGAAGGAGCTCCTGGTCAAAGGCCGGGGGCCCAGCCCGCCCCCCAGGGAGGGCCTGCCTTCTGGGAGCTCCGGCGGCAGGGGCCCAGGGCTCCCCGCGCCAGCACCCGCTCCGCCCTGGGGCGTCCGTGCGGGACAGCGAGGTCAGCGAGGCCGAGGTCAAGGCCGGTGCAGAGGGCAGCTCACCCCATGCCTGTGGGCGTCCAGGGCGAGAGCCGGGTCAGGTGGCGGGCGGGGGTGGGTGGGGCGTTGCCCGGAGAGGCCAGCAGGCACCGAGCTGAGTGCCCTGCCCACCGAACAAGCCCTGTCACACCACCTCGGGGGGCTGAGAAACGGGGCAAGACCACTGGGAGGTTAGGGGGCCGTGAAATAGAACCCCCGCCTCGTACCGTGTGAAGGGAGTCAAGCAGGTCAAAGACCTGCACAAAGGCACAACGGTAGCGTTAGGTGCCGCACGAGGCTGGCCTGGCAGCCGGGGGCAGGGAAGGCGCCCTGGCAGAAGACAAACGGCAGGTCACTGAGTTACCGTCTCCGTCCGTCTTGCTTCCTGGAACCCCTTCCTTCTGCTCTCGAGGAGCTTCCCAGGGAGGCCTGTGCTAGGGGCACGCTGGGGGCCTGGCGTGGGAGAGCGTCCTCAGGCCACTGTCCCCGCCATCAGGCATCAGGACTCCAGGCTCGAGTCGGCCTCGTAGGGAATTTGGGAGGCAGCTCCTGCATTCGCTCCTGAGAAGTCGGGAACCATCCGGACCGCTGACCTCCAGACCCGAGCTGCTCTCCTTCTTCTCTGGAAGCTCAGCGGCGTCTCCGCAATCCTGTGAGCGCGTCTTGGTGCAGGTCTGTTTCAGCCACTGTGTTTTTCACCCACCGGCTGCACCTGCAGTCCGGACACTCGGGTCGAGCGGGCTGGGCAACTGTCTTGGTTTGTCTTCACTCCCTGTTGGCCCTGCCCTCTCTGGCCTCACACTGCTCGGATGCGGGGCCTCACTTGACTGGTCCCTTAATTTCCTTCTTTCTTCCTTCCTCTCTGTTTCGCCCACGTTTGATTTTACTGCCCACATCAAGAGGCCTGGGCGGTGGTTGTCGAGTATCGACACTGAAGGGACAGACAACATCCTAAGCTACGTGGGAAGGGGGGAGAGCGGCCTCTTCCTGACACCTCCACCCCAGACACATGCCAGCGCAGGACGGCCTCGTCTGCCCGGAGGTGGTTTTGACTTTCATCCTAGAAGCCACGCTTCGCCACGCCTGTGCTTCTCCGAGGTTGGCGTCGGCGGGCGCCCCGACGGCGCTGAGCCGTCCCCCAGCAGGAGCAAACGCCTCTTCCATCTTGCTGGCTCTGCTTCCGGGTGATTTCCCGGACTTTATCTTCCAGCTCTGCTACTGAACGCTGCATCTCTGCTGTCGTAGTTGTAACTTCCAAGAATTCTTTTTGTTCTCTTATTTATAGCATCCTGTTATGTAATGGTTACTGCATCTTCCCTTACCTTTATGACGATACAAATGGTTTTTTAAGTAAGTTTCTCCTCCCTGAATAGTCCATTTTGAGGGTGGCAAACTACGGCCTGAGGCCTCTTTGCCTCACTCCCTGCCTCTCTCTCCCTCTCCTGGCTGGTTGGCTGTGGAGGCCCAGTGTCAGTATCCTCCATCTTGCCCTGGGCTGTCGCTGACCGCCAGCCCTGCCAAGTTGGCCGCCCCCTGCTTGGAGGGCGCAGGCCCAGGCCTGGTGGGTGAGAGTGCGGGGCTCCAGCAATGGGGGCTCTGCCACCGGGGTGCTCCCTCCTTCAGGGTGAGATCCCGTGTCCCAACCTGGAGACCCTCGGTCTTAAATGCTCTAGAAATAGACCCCAGTCTTCTGCCAGAGGAAGGAGCGGGCAGCTCCCAGCTGTGCAGGGAGAGGCGCAGCTGAGCAGCTAGCGCACCGCTGCTCCTTCCTTGCTGCGCATTTTGTACTGAAGTACAAACACCACGGAAAACCACGCGAACCTGAAGCACCCGGCTTGGTAACTCAGCGGTCCCCAACGTGTTTGGCACCAGGGACCGGTTTCGTGGAAGACAATTTTTCCACGGACTGGGCGCCAGTGGGGGATGGTTTTGGGATGATTCAAGCGCATTACATCTATTGTGCAATTTATTTCTATTATTATTACACTGTAATGTGTAATGAAATAATTACACAACTCACCATGACGCAGAATCAGCGGGAGCCCCGAGCTCGTTGTCACTTGCCGCCCACTGACAGGGCTTTGATGTGAGTCTGCAGGCAACTGATTTATTATGGTCTCTGGACGGTCAAACCTCTGTGCTAATGATCTGCATTTGCGGCCCCTCCCCAGCACCAGCGTCACCACCTGGGATCACCAGGCATTAGATTCTCCTAAGGAGCGTGCCACCTGGATCCCTCGCACGCGCGGTTCACAGCAGGGTTCGCGCTCCTATGAGAATCTGATGCCGCCGCCGGTCCGACAGGAGGCGGAGCTCAGGCGGCAACGCGAGCCATGGGGAGCGGCTGTAAATACAGCTGGAGCTTCACTCGCTCACCCACCACTCACCTCCTGCTGTGCGGCCCGGCTCCTATCAGGCCACGGACTGCTACTGGTCCATGGCCCGAGGGTTGGGGACCCCTGTGGTAACTGTTCACCAGGGCACACGCCTGTGTGCCAGGCCCAGGGCAAGAGCAGTGTGCACAGCAGTGCCCCAGGGGGGACCCCATCTCGTCTTCCCCTCTGCAGGCGGATGCTCTGCCCAAGTCTGAGCTCCACACAGTGGCTCGCGGCTGCCCGTGGTGGCCGTGGCTGTGGACGCCGTCACTGCCATGTGGGGCTTCCTGGCTGCGCTCACGTCGGCTGGGACTTCACCTGGAGGCGGACGGGGCAGCCGGTCCCCTACGCGGTTCAAACACGGAGCAGCTCCCCAGGGCGTGGGAAGCGGAGTCCATGGGGCCGCCCTGCAAACACGCTGGCCATCCCCTGGGTGGGTGCCATGTCGCTGCCCGGCAGGAAAGGGCCTGGGTAGCTTGGTCTCGCTGATTACCTGTGACGACCATGTCGCGCAGCAGGTGAGGGAGGCAGGTGAGCTGGTGTCTGTTCCCTGCTGCTGTTCTAACAAACGACCACGAAGGTGGCAGTGAGATCAACGTGAGCGCGGTCTTACAGTTCTGGGGGTCGGACGTCCAGCACAGGTCGCACGGGCTAGAATCAAGAGCTGCAGGGCTGTGCTCCTTCTGGCGGCTCCAAGGCAGGATCCGTTTGCCTGTGGTTGTAGGACTGAGGTCCCGTTCCTGTGCTGGCCTCCAGCCGAGGGCCATTCCCAGCTCCTGGAGGCTGCTGTACCCCTTGCTCCGTGGCCCCGTCCTCCACCTTCAGAGCCAGCCCTTTCCTGTCTCTCTGACCCACTCTTCTGCTTCCCTCTTTCTTCTTTTATTCAAGTATAGTTGATTTGCAACGTTCTGTTAGTTACTGGTCTACAGTAAAGTGATTTTATACATATACGATCCTGCTTCGGATTCTTCTCCATTATGGTTTATCATGGGACATTGAATATAGTTCCCTGTGCTCTACAGTAGGACCTTGTTGTTTACCTGTTTTATGTACAGTAGTTTGTATCTGTTAATCCCAAATTCCTAATTTCTCTCTCCCCCCGCCCCCTTTCCCCTCTGGTAACCATAAGTTTGTTTTCTATGCCTGTGAGTCTGTTTCTGTTTTGTAAATAAATTTGTTTGTATCATATTTTTAGATTTCACACAGAAGTCATATCATATGGTATTTGTCTTTCTCCTTCTCTGTCTGACTTACTTCGCTTAGTATGATCATCTCTAGGTCCACCCATGTTGCTGCAATGGCGTCATTTCATTCTTTTTTATGGCTGAGTAGTATCCATCGCACACGTGTACCGCATCTCCTTAGGCCAGTTGTCTGGTGATGGGCATTTAGGTGGCTTCCGTGTCTTGGCTATTGAAAATAGCGCTGCTATGAACACTGGGGTGCATGTGTCTTTTCGAATTAGAGTTTTCTCTGGATATATGCCCAGGAGTGGGATTGCTGGATCATATGGTAGCTCTATCTTTAGTTTTTTGAGGAACCTCCATACCGTTCTCCATAGTGGCTGTACAGTTTACATCCCCACCAACAGTGCAGGAGGCTCCCTACCGTCCACGCCCTCTCCAGCATTTGTTATTTGTAGGCTTTTGAATGGTAGCCGTTCCGGCCGGTGTGAGGTGATACCTCACTGTAGTTTCAACTTGCATTTCTCTGATAATCAGCAATGCTGAGCATCTTTCCATGTGCCTTTTGGTCATCCGTATGTCTTCTTTGGAGAAATGTCTGTTTAGGTCTTTTGCCCATCTTTTTATTGTGTTGTTTTTTGATATCGAGCTGTATGAGTTGTTTGTAGATTTTGGAAATTAAGCCCTTGTTGGTCTCATCGTTTGCAAATATTTTCCCAGTTTTAAGGACTCGTGTGCTTAGACAGGGCCACCAGGTGCCCCGGGGTGACCTCCCCACATCAGCAGGGCCCCCTGTGGCCACAGCTGCCGGTCAGAGACTAGACACAGGCATCCTGGGGCCGTTATCCTGCCTGCAGGTGGGAACGGCTGTGGCCTAAGCCACTGCAAGCCCACTGAGCCCCTCCTGGTCTGCAAGCTGCTGACCCCAGGGCGACCGTGCAGGGTGCCGCCCCATCCTCGCTGCGCCCGCCGCCCCCCACCCTCTGTACCCCTCCCACCTGCACGAGCTGGGCACTGGGCGTGGCCAGCAGGCTGAGTGTGCAGGAAAGCTTCCGGAAGAAGCGCTCTCCAGCCTCGCCAAAGCCGGCATTCCGTGTCCACTCCAGGAGCTGCTGCAGGCGGGCACAGGCCTGGACGCCTCTGGGCCAGTGGAAGCAACTCAGAGAGGGCCCTGGGAATGGAGGGAGGGAACGAGGGTGATGCCGGGCAGCCCTCGCAGGGCAGGCATGCTGCCCGCCACCCCCCACCCCGAGGGAGCCAGGCCCGGCTGGGCCCTAGCCCTGTCCTCCTCCCGCGCCCCCCCACACCAGGCCTCTGGACAGACGGAAGACCTTACGTCCGTTTCTAAGACAACTACCTGCTTCCAGACCCCTCTCTGGGCATGGGTGGGTGGGTATGGAGGTGGGAGGTGAAGGTGGCAGGGCAGGGAGGGGCGGTGACAGCCACGTGACCCCAAGTGCAGAGGGCCGTGGTCCAGGCTTCGCACGTGCTGTGGGCTGGCCCCGCTCTCCCTGCCCCGCACCCCAGCACTGCCTCGGCCCTGAGCGCTGGGGCAGGGCGATGGAGGAGATCTGGGTGGCAGTGAGGCAGGGTCAAAGGCCACGTCACTTCCCTGAGCCTGCTGCCTCCTCGCTCACAGGGGCCCCAGGCCACGCGGGGATAAAATAAACCAGGAAAGGCCGGCAGGGCCCTGTGCAGACACGGACGGGCGTCTCCCGCTCCCACGGGGACAGGCTCTGCAGCACGTCCTCCCCCCGCGGCACCCGCCCAGACCCCACGGAGCGGAACGGCTCAGCCCGCTGGTCTCCGGAAGGACACGCTCAGTGGCCCTGCGGGCTGTCTGCCCCGGACCCTCACCCTTGTCCAGGAGCTGGTTGAAGAGCAGAGTGCCGGAGAAGAAGAAGAGGTAGGCCAGCACCTGGGCGGCGATCTCGGGGTGCACCTGCAGCGGCCGCAGGAGGTCCAGGGTGGCCTGGTAGATGGACACGACGCGGTGCAGCTCCTCGGGCAGCTGAGGCGCCGAGCACCAGCTCTCGCGGCACTCCAGCTGGAAGGGGGGGCACTCCAGCAGGGCCGGGAGGCACACGTACAGGGACTGGGGGCGAGAGGAAAACACCGGCTGCTGTGGGCAGGGGCCCCGGGCCCGACCCATCCCGCTCATGCCTTGGCCAGACCACGTGTGTCAGCGACCCACGTGTGAGTGCCGGGCTCAGCCAGCGGGAGCCGCGGCGGGGAGGGGGGTCAGTAAAGCTCCCAGCGAAGGCGCAGATGACACGGGCTGCAGGGGCTCCGGCAAAGGGGCCGGACGGCACCCAGAGGACCCTGAGGGCAGGGGGCTTCACCCTCTTCTTATTTTATCAGAAGGGTTTTACTGGACGGAGTGGGGGCGAGTGAGCCCCACTGACCCAAGGACACGGCAGAGCCCCGGGGTCCCCTGCTCGGCTCTGAGTTCCGAGACATGGCCGCACGGCTGCCCCCACCAGCGTTAGGGATGGCGCGGGCAGGGGAGCCGGGGCCACAGCAGCCGGAACCACCGCACGGCGGTCCCGCCATCCGAGCTGCCTCCCCAGAGCAGCCGGCCCCGTCTCTCTCGCTCGCTGGCCCCGCGCTGGGTCAGAGGACTCGCTCGACGAGAGCAACAGCAGGTGAGGGGACCAGGGGCCCGAGACCGGGGTCCGGGCGGGCAGAGGCGTCCAGGCCGGCACCCAGGTCCCCCGGGAGAACGCGCACGCAGAGGCTGTACCTTGGAGACGTAGTACACGCACTGCTGGAAGGCGTACAGGATGACCTCCTCCAGCACTGCCATGGCCTCTTCACTGGCCGTGAGGGTGCAGGAGAACAGGGACTCCTTCGAGCCTGCGGGGAAATGTGGCGCCGTCACTGCAGGGCCAGGGGAGGGGGGACTCGGGCAGGAACCTTCTGGAACTGCCGCGAGTTCAAACCCCCATCCGACGCCTCCAGAGGGCTCCGCCCAGCACCCTCCTCTTGGGTTTGGAAAACGTGACAAACCAAAGCCACGGGGCCCCCGGGCCCAGGGGTCCCAGGGTGCTGGCTGAGGTGGCCAGGACCCTAGGCCCCGAGCTTCCAAGCCCATGGACACCAACTCGATACCAAGCGCAGCAGACGTTCGCGTGCTAGCAGCTTCCGGATACGCGTCAGGACCAAGTGCCCAGCGCTGGCAGATCCTGGCCCGCAGGTCACTTCTCACTCGGGATACAGGTCAAAGGACACCTGGCCAGAGGTCCTAAGGAGGCCGTCACGACACTTTCCCGAGAAGCCCAGATGGCCCTCGTGCCCCGTTCCCCCCAACTAGCGCCCCCCAGGGAAGACACTGCAGTGTCTCAGGCACAGAGCGGAGACCCTGGGCGCTCAGCACCTCGGGGGACGGGCCCTTGGCACAACAGGCCCGGGGATGGGCCTCCCAGGCTGGGCAGCGGCCAGGGGGCTGCAGCTGCAGCTGGGACTTGGGGGTGTGAGTGATGCCAGGTGACTCCCTCCCCCTGGGTGGGGCTCCTGTACGGCCAAGAGGCCAGGCTGGCCACGGGCGCCCCAAGACCAGGGGCCCAACAGGGAGGGGCCATCCCAAGGGGCCCTCCCGAAGTCGGGCGGCATGAGGTGCCTGGTGCCAGCGGCCCCAGTGGCACTTGGGGAGGGACCGGACAGGACGCCCGCCTCCGTCCTTCGCTCGCTCGGCCCCTCGCTTCTCTTGACGAGAACGGAAGGCCGGCGGCAAGGCTTTCCTGCACTGCCCGTCCCGTGCGGCCTCTTGCTTAATGCACAGAGTGGGCCCCACGTCTGGGGACCTCCTTTCAGGGAGGGAGGGAGGCCGGGAATCGCCCTGAACGCTAAGCTGGGCCTCCCAGGAGCACAGGGACGGGGCCGCCCGGCTACTGGGCCAATGGAAACGGTGTGCGCGTCCGTCAGAGACCCGCCCTGCAGACGCCAGCATGGGCCATCGAGGGCTCGGGGCTCCCTGACCCCCCCCCAGGGCTCACACCCCAGAACCCTCCCGACCAGGAAGCCGGAGGCCTGCGGGGCCTCCCCAGGGCCCTTCCCGGAGCCCGGCAGGGTCTGGCTGCTCCCTGCAGCCCCCCTGGGCTTTGGGGGAGAAGCCAATCGGGTGACTGCAGGGGCCGCAGGCTCTGACGGCGCCAGCTTGTCTGAGAAGGAGACCTACGCCCCTCATGTGGGCCCGGGGGCTCTGGAGAGAGGGAGGAGGGGACGGACAGAGGGAGGAGGCTGGGGGTCCACAGAGCACAACCCCGGGCGGCTCCCAGCAGACGCCACAGAAACACCCTGAAACCCTCCTAGCCGCGGCGCGGGCTCTGCTGGGGTTTCCGGCTCAGCTGACGCCCGCACGCGCCTGTCAGAGGACCCGGGCCTTGTCCCGCCTCCCTCCCGAGGCCCCGCGGCTGAGGACCGCCCCCTGGGACCCCACAGTCCGCAGGCGCTGAGGCAGAGCCTCAAAGCCTTACAGGAGAACTTTAAATGAATTAAATAAACGTCCCCCCTGATGGGCTAATCTTTTATCTTCCCCTGTGAACGGGCTTCCTGGATAAGAGCTTCAGACAGAAAAGGTTGTTTGGGGAAGAAAAAGCTCTTTTTCCAGTTTTCAGGACATGACACATCTCTGTTTTTAGAATTCTTCCCACAGATATTTCCTGCTGAAGGTCAGGAGGCCAAACACGCCAACTCTGACCTTCCCTTCGCCCCCTGGTTGATGGTTTTTTCCTCTGAGCTCTCCGGCGCCTGCACCGCCCCGGACGTTGTTTCCGGGACGCTCAGGCCCTGCTGTGGCTTCCCCAGCCCTTGTGGTCCCCGGGGCGGGCAGAGGTGGGACCCCAGCCGTCCACATACTCTCCCAACGTCGACTGGGCTACACGACATCTGGGCCTTGGATCAAGAATATCTTCCTAAGAGCAGAGCCCCCCAGCAGCTTTTTTCATGAAAATCAGCCTGACGCAGGGTCCCTGTGAAGGCTACGCTAACCCCAGGCCTGCAGCCTCTCAACACAGCGTCTGAAATATGTCCAGACAAGGAGGGGCACCGGCGGGACCCGCCTGTGAGCACTGTGCCCGAAGTCGGGGTGACGGGGTGCCGTCTCCCGACCTGTGCCGGCCTCCTGGCTTCCGCACGGAAGGACCAGCCAGAGGCCGGGTGCTCGCCGGCCGACGCCACGTGCACAAGAGTCCCCTCCACTCAGAGCCCGCTGAGCGCTGCGGCCTCAGTCCTGGGGGGCTGGAGGCCACCCCCGCAAAAGGAGCTCAACAGGGTCCGGGGAGAGAGGTGGCAGGAAGCCTCTGCAGGCGCTGGATTCCAGCAGCACCAGGCACGGGGTGGGCCCGGGCTGCTGCACAGAGCGAGGCGCGCTGGCGACGGAGACTCGGGAGGTGTAGTCCCCGCGTCACGTCCGGGGGAATGGTGGGTGACGGTCTGCGTCCAACCCAGGCCCGGTGGACAGACAGCAGCTGCCCCATCCTGGGGGTCTACTGGACGGTGTTCACAATGTCCGCCCACGGGGGACAAGGGAGGGAGCGACAGGCCAGCGGACCTGCAACGAATGACCACTGGAGCACGGAGGAGACACTGCTCCTGACACGTATCCACGGAGGCCCTGAGAGCCCAAGACAGTCCCCACCGCCCCTTCCCTGGGAAGTCGGGGGGAGAAAAGACTCAGAAACCACAACTGACGAGAGGAAGGTAGGCGGACCCCGTCTCCCCAGGCCTGGCCGGGACGCCCCAGGGCCTCGGCCCCGCCACCCCGTCTCCGAAGCCAGTGGCCAACTGAGTGCAGAGTGGGACAGCCGGCCCCCGGGCAGACCAGCCCCCTCGCCGGCAGCGGCCATGAGCCCCTCCCCTAGGAACCTAGCCGGTTGGCATCGGGGGAACCAGCAGGGCCCAGGGCCTCAGGCCGACTGTGAGGCTGTGTCCCGGGAGACATGGCCACGCCTGTCCTGCCGCGCGGCCTCCCCACGGCTCCCCGAGGCAGGCAGGCCCCCGGGGCGGGGGCGCACGCCCGCTCGGACAGGAGGGAGCGAAGCGGGCGGCTCTGTCCTCGCAGGGCAGAGTGAGGCCGCACGGGGCGAAACCGAGCCCCTGGTCCCCGACCGCCACACCCGGTCCCGCTGCATGCAGCCCCGCTGCTCCGTCCCGGCTCCGTGCCAGGACCCGCTGCGGCCCCATCAGACACACGCCAGCTGACATCTCACACCCCCTCAGGGCCTGGCCGCACGCCACCTCCTCCACGAAGCCCTCCTAGACCGCCCCAGTCAGAGTCACTCTCTCACTGAGCGTTTTCAGCGCTTTATGCTGCGTTGCATCAGCTCTACGAGGCACGTTTTCCTACGTTTTAGTCTCTGAAGTCAACACGTGTCACACAGTCTCGTAACTCTCACGAGCAACGCGCCTCCTTTCTGAGACTGCGGTGCGTTCTGGGGGGGGCTGGCAGCCAAGGGCTGACAGAATGCAGTGAGTGACCTGCGTCTCCCAGGCCTCCCCCAGTGGGGCTGCGTGAAATGACGGGGACAGAGAGCGCGGACGCGTCACGGACGAGAGGCACCGGGTTATAGCCCAACCGGCAGGTCACCTCCCTCTTTGGGGATGCCCCCGACACCCATCTCTGCTCTGGGGGCCACCTCTCCCCTGAGACGGCCCGGGGACGCTCACCACCTGGGAGCAGCAGCACGGCCATACCTGTGACGTCCAGGTCCTCCTCCAGGCTCTGCATGTAGAGTGGGCACTTCTGCTGGATAAAGTACAGAAGCTCAACCGAGTTGGACATCCAGAAGAGGATGTGCTGCAGGTCCGGAACCAGGCCCGCCATGGTGAAGCTAGCCGGGGAGAGGGGCTCCTGGCTGCCAAGACAGAGACCAAGAGTCACACCGAACCCGCCGCTCTCTGTGCGTGAGAACGGCGGACGCTCAAAATACCCACCACGATCTGTCAGCCTGCCAGCGTCAGGCTGGGAACTGGATTCAGATCCATAGCCCGTTAGAGGCACATCGCCTACAAACCCTCACAGGAAGGACCGCCCGAGGCCACGCTGGAAAAGGCCTCTGGCAAATGGCTTTTTTTCACATCTTCTCTTTGAGAATCAGAGAACAGAGCGGCTGTGACCGTTCGGACGAGCAACAGGAATTGCCCCTCGTACTCGAGAGCAAGAGAGACGAGGGCGGGTGTCTTAAGTGAGGAACGTAACTAACAGAGGAAGCAAGCAGAGGCGCAACGGCTTGGGGTGGTGATCGGACAAGGGCAGCTAAGTGCTACCGCATCCCAGCAGGAGGCGGAAGACGACGGCTAAGGCAGCGTCAGGAGGCAGGGATCGCGGGCGCTACTGGAAGACTCAGAGATACCGTTAGGAAACCCACACAAACGACCCCACTCACGGGGGCTGCCTGGCCGTGTCTGGGGCCGCGCGGCGGGCAGAGGAGAGGGGCGGGAGGGGCTCCCAGGCGGCGGCACGGAGCTAGGCCCTTCCCGGCCCTCCAACCCCATCCCACCCTGGGGGACGGCCGCCTGGGGTAGAGGGCCCGTGGCACTCCCTTTCCAGGGGACACTGGGCACGTGGGGGCCGCCTGCCTCCCTCGAAGGCAGCCTGCGAGGTCAGCTCCGCCCATCTCAAGCCCCTCCTCCCGCGTCTCCCGGGCCCCAGCCACCAGCATCCAGGACCTGGTGTCCGAGTCGCCCGCAATGTGACAAGCACCGCGCTGTCCTCACCAGCCTCCTGGGGAGGCCGAGGGGCGGGTGCAGCAAGCAGAGCTCCAGGCGATTCCTCCCTCTAAATGCCAGTCGGTGTCTCGCTGGCACGGTTCCTCATCCCGGCAGCCAGCCTGTCGGTGCGCTGTGCATTCTGAGAGCATCCTCACACTGGAGGGTCCCTGACCACACCTGCCAGGTGCTCTGACAGGTGAGCAGAGACCCACTGACAAGCAAATCAAACCACCCAGAGGTAACTGGGTCGGTCTGGGGGTGACGCTGGGCTGTGCCTCTTACTGGCGGATTCCGGGGGGCAAGGCGGGCGTCTGCGGGCATCGCGCGAGAACAGCGCTGTCCCTAGGCTCTTCATCCTGCCTGGAGGGCTTGCCAGCGCCCGGAGCAGCTCAGGGACTACGGCTGTTGCAGTGACCGTCGTGCCGGGGGTCCTGGCGATCAGGCCCACGGGAAAAGCCGAGGGGCCATATCAGCGGCAGGGCTGGTGCGGAAGTGTCGGGCGGGCTGCAGCCTCAGCCTCCTCCGCGCCCCACGGGCCTCGGGCTCCCTTCCCCACGTTCTCCTTGGGCCTGCACTTTGCTGCTCTCTCTGGCGTAACTTCACTTTTGTCCAAAGACAGCATGACCCCCCTCTGTCCTGCTCCTGGGGAGGGACAGGCTTCAGACGCGTCTCCTTGTTTCCACTGCTTATCTTGCTCCTCTCGTCCGTTCTCCTCGCTGGTTGAATTACACACACACACGTGCACGCACGAAGAGCTTTATGTCGTCAAAAAAGGATGAATCTGCTCGTCAGAGCCTAGCTCCATTTTGTTTTCAACATTTACTGCCCTTCTCCATTCCGCCCAGAACTCAACGGGACAGACAGGCAGGCCTGCACGGAAAAACAGTCCACCAGCTACTGCCAAGTGGAGCTTTGGTGTTGGGTCCCAGCGAGGTCAGCGCTGAGGATGCGCCACCGGCCAGCCCTGCCGTACCGTGGGGCACAAACAAGGCGCAGCGGCCTGGCCCACCCGTCCGGGCAAGCACCGAGTAGGCACGACGATTTCAGGGACATGACACCAAAGGCGCAGGCAGTAAAAACACAAACAGACACGCGGCGTTACGTCAAACGGAAAGGCTTCTGTGCAGCAAAGGAAACCATTAACAGAATAAGAAGGCAACCCACGGAATGGGAGAAAACATTTGCAAACCACATATCAGATAAGGGGTGAATTTCCCAATACACATAAGGAACTCCTACAACTCAAAAGCAAAAACAAAAAAACACAAAGAAAACAAACCATTAATAACCCTATTAAAGATGCGCTGAAGACCTGAATAGATATGTCTCCAAAGCAGACAGCCAGCCAGAGGAGCATGAAAAGGTTCTCGACATACATGATCACCAGGGAAACGCGAGTCAAAGCACAAGCAGCTGCCACCCCACACCTGTCATGGTTTCACGAAAAAGCCCAGAGTCAACAAGTGTTGGTGACGACGTGGAAAAATCAGAACCCTTGTGCACTGCTGGTAGGAACGCAAACTGGTGCAGCCACTGTGTAAAACAGTATGGAGGATCCTCAAAAAACCAAAAGTAGAACTACCTTATGATCCAGCAATTCCACTTCCTGGTGTTTATCCAAAAGAATTGAAATCAGGATCTCCGAGAAATAGTAGCACCCCAGTGTTCACTGCAGTACTACTCGTAACATCCGAGACGTGGAAGCAAACGCAAGGTCTACTGACGAATGAAAGAATGAAGAAAATCTGGTTTATAACACAAGGGAACATTATCCAGCATTAAATAAAGAAGGAGGGCTTCCCTGGTGGCGCAGTGGTTGAGAGTCGGCCTGCCGATGCAGGGCACACGGGTGCGTGCCCCGGTCCGGGAGAATCCCACGTGCCGCGGAGCGGCTGGGCCCGTGAGCCGTGGCCGCTGAGCCGGCGCATCCGGAGCCTGTGCTCCGCAACGGGAGAGGCCACGACAGGGAGAGGCCCGCGTACCGCAAAAAAAAAAAAAAAAATAAAGAAGGAAATCCTGCAATATGCAACAACACGGATGAACCCTGAAGACATGATGCTCAGTGAAATAAGCCAGTCACAGAAGGACACGTACTGTGTGACTCCACTTACATGAGGGACCCAAAACAGTCAAACTCACAGAATCAGCGAGCAGAGGGGCAGTTACCAGGGGTGGGGGCAGGAGGGCAGACAAGAGAAACTGCTCATCGATGAGCGTGAAGTCTCAATTACGCAGGATGAGCGAGTTCTAGAGACCTGCTGTACGACAGCGCACCTACAGTTAACGATACTGTCCTGCACACTTAAAAGTTTAAGAGCATAGCTTTCATGTTAAATGTTCTCACCACAGTAAAATAAAGAAAAATAAACCAAATCAAATCAATGACGTTCTGATATAAATTTAAAAAAAAAATCATCTGGGGGACTTCCCTGGTGGTCCAGCGGTTAAGACTGCGCTTCCATGGCAGGGGGCGCGGATTCGATCCCTGGTCGGGGAACTGATCCCTCATGACGCATGATGCGGCCAAAACATTTTTTAAAATAAAAATAAAGATCATCTGGGACACCTGTACAAGAGAAATTATTGCTCTTCTATATTACTTATTATTAATAATATATTATTATGATTACTGAAAATAAAATTTAAAACATTTTTGTTAGTAAATATAAAAATGAAAAAATTTCAAAAAACTTTCTAAACAATTCATGAGTCAAAGAAGAAATTAAAACAAATTATGCAAGGATAAGGAAATAATAAAGAGGTAAATGGAATAGAAATCAAAGAAAAGGTAAACAGAAACAACAAAATTGGTTCTTTTAAACAGATAACAGACAAATGCCTGGGAAGATAAATCAAAGGGGGTGGGGAGAGAAAAAATAGGAACACAACAGGAATTAAATAAGGCGATATCACTACAAATATATTAGAGATGAAAGAAGTCCTACAAGAATATAACAAACAATTTTATTCCAATAACTTTGAAAACACAGGCAATGGATAATTTCCTAGGAAAGCAAAACTTACCAAAATCAACACAAGAAGAAACAGAAAACTAAACAAACCATAAACATTAAAGAAATGGAATCAGCAAACACAGGCGCCGCCCAGACGCTTTTCTGGGCCGCTGCCCAGAGTCCTCACCCTCAGACAAATCGACTCAGAGAACTGAAAGCAGAGAAGGCTGCCCAATTCATTTCTGAGAACCTTGCCATTAAAATCAGACAAGGACAACACAAAACAATAAATGAATTCACAGGCCAATTCTACTTATGAATTCAGATGGGAAAATCCTAAAGTATCAACAAACCGCATCTCGCCTTGCTAATGACAAAATCAACAGTTATGAGAGGTTCGATCCCGGGAATCCAATCACGGTTCAGAAAACCTCCTGATGTAGGACCCACACTCAGATTCAAGGGGAAAATGTGTGACGATCACAGACGCGGAAAAAGCATTCAGGAAGAGTTAACGGCCACTTACAATTTTAAAAGAAGCACACAAGAAAGAAAGCACACAAGAAAGAAGCACACAAGGAAGACCTGGAGCTAACGGGGCAAAATGTGACTCATGTTAAATTCAGGTGTGGGTTCAGGGGTAACTGACACACTCTGTACTCTTCTGTATTTTGAAAGTGATTCATAATTTTTTTAAAAAAAAAGCATTCGCTGGGATGGAGCCAGGGCTGTTTTTAGGCCCTAATGACACAAGGAGCTGCTGAAGGAGGGGCTGTTTCCTCCTGTCTAAGGGCCAAGGCCCCAGCAGACAGGCACCGGTGGGAGGATGCGCTCGAGGGCGAGGGCCGGGTTCTCCTGAGGACTCCTCCATCCAGGCCCGCCTCACCCTGGGGACGAGGCAGAGCCGGGGGTGAGGCCGCCACACCTGTCACGGGGTGAGGCTGGCTCCCTCGAGGACTTCCCCTGCCGTGTGGAACCTGAAGGATGCAGGGCTTCTCCGAGCTGCCTGGGCCTCAGTTGGTCCCTCCATGCCAGGCCAGCTGTAGGCTGTCTTCCGTGGGGCCCCCCGCCCGGGGCCTGGCCTGTAACAGCACCCCGCTACCCACTACCCTCGAGCAGGGCAGCAGCCAACAGAGCACATTCGTGAGCGACGGGGATTCTGCTCCACTCAGCCCGGCGGGAGCTTCGCTGCTCAGACCCCGGCTTCCCGTCTCTGAGCCTCTAGTTCCCGGCTTCAGAAGGAGGGGATAATGATGCTTCCTCCCGACTCCCTTACAGCAGAGGTCCCCAGTCCCCCCCACAGCCCCGGGCCGCACAGCAGGAGGTGAGCGGCGGGCCGCTCCCCGTCGCTCTCATCACCACCTGAACCATCTCCCACTCCCCGCCCCGTCCGTGGAGAAACTGTCTGCCACGAAACCAGTCCCTGGTGCCAAAAAGATTGGGGACCGCTGGCTTACAGGGCCACGGGCGGACGGTACCCCACAAGCACAGACAGCAACCATGTGCTTTATAAACGGAGTATCTTCTTCACGTGTCATCCTCACATAAACAGAAATGAGGCAAACCCCGTGGACCGCAGCATGACTTAAGGCCCCGCGAGCCCTTCGTCCACGACGGGCAGTGACCACAGGCCACCTCTGCTCGGGCTGTCGCCACATGTGCGTGTTCCTTCAAGGGGACGGACGGCTGTGGCCTTCACGCCTTCACTGTGGCTAGGGGTCTGCAGCACAAACACAGGTGCCGCCGCCACCTTCTGCGGAGGCGGTTCTCGGTGGTGTCCGTTCAAGGGCAGGCGGGGGGTGTCCCAGGATACGCACGTCTTTACCGTTAATGCCAAATGGTTTCCTCAAGTCCCCCCAGCGGCGCGTAAAACTAGAGCCCGTACTTTCTATGAAAACCGACGTTGGACAGCGGAGACCCCCTGCCCCACCTCTACACCGGGAGGCGTCCACTTCCCCAAAGCAGCAGGTTCGCTTTAACACAGCAATTACGGGAGGGCGAGGAGAAGGCTTCCTGGAGGGTCGTGCCCACTCGTCTCACAGATGCTCTGGAGAGACCTCCCCGACACAGAGCTGCCCAGGGTGGTGACTACAGACATGGAAACAGCCACCCTGAGACAGAAAGATACAGAGCTGACCCCAGAGGTTGCAGGGTGAGGGGTGCTGGGACTTGGCTCCTGGGGAACCAGTGGCCTGCTGGGCGGGTACGAAGACGGGGCCGTACTTACAGGTGCGCCTGCTTCTCGGCGAGTTCTTTGGTTTTCTCCTACAATTATAAAGGGAAAAAAAGCAAAGATGAGACAAGCAGGACACCACTGACACAGGCTCCCATCTACATGAAACACGGCATCACTGCTCCGGGCGTCGCTCCAAGCTATACTGGGAAGACTGTTTTCCATTTGATCTGACCTCCTGGCATCCCATTACTGCGTACGAACCACGCGTTTCCTACAAGAGCACTGTTTCACAGCCATCTCTCTTACGTAACAGCCAGCCACTTAGGGAGCAGTAAAGATGGGTCAAACGTATGACAAATGTCAGAACAAACGTTCTAGCAACACTCTTACGGTCAAGCTTCATAGATGCACTTTTAAAAGTCAGCCCCAGTAACGTGGAGCAGATGCACGTGGGCCTGAGTACACATGAGTATGTTTAAACGTCCCCATAGGGACTCAGGTCTAGCCAACATTTTCTGTCCCCTTTAATCAAGAACTCATTCTTGCTTCAGTGCCGTTATCCGGCTTAGCGTGGTCCTAACCGCGACTCCCTCACACGTTCTCGTGGAGGCTCACATCGGCCTGAGTTGATGAGACACGTGAGCACGGGGATGCACAGGAGGCTGCCGATGCCCAAGAAACAGACAGACAAATGAAACTCAAGGCTCTAGACAGACTTCTCACACCCCAGAGGGGAAGCCGTACGGGGGACACCCGGGCCCGGGACCTGGGGTGAGGGGGCCCCACCTCCACGAGCCTGTTTCCAAGCCTGCACGGGGGCAGGGGAGGGGGTTCGCAGGGCTCATCCCATGTGCATGGCGGGAGAGCCAGGGCTGACGCTCGGGCTCGGGGGGATCCAGTTCTCTGCCCGGAGTCACCAGCACCCTCCTTCGCCCCGGCGCTCTCAGCTGTGGCGTGGGACACCGCACCTACGCCGTCAGGGCGGTTGTGGGAATTAAGTCCAACAGCATCTGATTGCTAGTGTCTGGCACAGAGCAGACTCGGAAAAGGACGGTGATTCGTGTGAAATTCACAGCTTCTAAGCGTCAGGCCACTAGGTCCACACTCTGCACGGACTTCAGCTGCACAGAGGGGAAGCGACCACACACACCAAATGCCACTCGGGACGCTGGGGGACGCAGCTCAGATACGCACGATGCACACAGATCGCTTGCACAAACCTTTGGATGTGGCAGGCCAGGATGGCTTTTGCTTTTAAAAAGTTTCAAACGTTTTAAATGTGGGTTTTAATCTGAGGAATCTATCCAGTGTCTACACGGCCAACTGGTTTCCTTTTCCCACGTCTGCCTCAGGGTGAGCACGGCCGAGACTAAGGGGGTCTCTCTGAAGGACAGCGTGTAACTACCAGCCATCCTTTGGGTCCCCAGGGAGTCCGGCCCCTGGACGGGCAGGAGATGCCCGCCGGGTGCTCTGGCCCCAGGGGATGTCTGGCAGTGCCTGAAGCCGCTTCCGTGAGGGGGGAGGGGAGGGGTGCTGCCAGCCGCGGGGGGGAGGGGGAGGCCAGGGAGGCTGCCCAACGTCCTGCGGTGCAGGGGTCAGCCCCCCAGCAAGGAATTCTGCCCGGACGTGCATGGTGCCGCGGTCCAGAGACCATCCTGGGCGAAGTTTCAGTGGACAGCATCGACCGGTCCTGTGCCCCCCCTCTCCCCGCCACCCGACAAGGGCTCTGCAGTGGGGTGTCGGCAGGGGCTCGACCTGCTCCCAGCAGAAAGCGCGGGGCTCCCAGGCCGCCTGGGTGCCAGCAGGGCTGGGCCGTGAGGAGGGACGCAGGACCGGAGCTCACGAAGCCAAACCCTCGGCGGATACCCCAGCTCCCCTGGTGGCCCTGCCTATCCTGCTCGCCCGACAGCGACGAGGGCTGGTCTCGGTCAAGGGGGAGCTCGCGCCCTCCACCCAGGCGGCCGCAGCTCCCACCCGCTCCTCTCCCGGCCGAGGCCGCCGGCAGCGAACCGCCCCCCGCCCCACCACTGACCCAGACCGTCTCTCGGATCATCTTGGCCATCTTGAGCAGGAGCTGCCCGAAGGAGCCCGGCTCGAGGCGGGTGGCCGAGTGCTGAATGCAGAGGCAGAGGAGGAAGGCGGGGGTCAGCTTGTGGTCGTTGCCGCCCGGCTCGACCAGCGTCATGATCCGCTGTAGCAGCGCGTCCTCCATGTCAGGCTCGAACTCCAGGTGCAGCGGCCGCGCCCGGGGGGGTCCGGGCCTCGCGGAGACCGAGGCGCCCCGGGCCCGGAGCGGGGCACCGCACATCCTACAGCTCTCCGGCACGGCCCGGAGGCGGGCCAGGGCCTGGGCGGGCAGGGGCTGGGCCTGCGCTGGGTCCTTCAGCAGCAGCAGGTAGTACAGGCCCAGGGAGAGCAGGTCCCCGTGGCGCAGCACCACGGCGCGGCCCCCCACCTCCGAGAAGTTGACCGAGACGGACGCCCCGGGGATGGGCTCCAGGACCAGCTGTGCCCCCGCCTGAGCCCGGCCCAACGGCCGGCGCCTGCGGATGGTGCAGTGCAGGGGCAGGATGTCGGGGGCCGAGAGGTTGATGCTGGGCTTGCTGGAGGGGGTCCTCTGGCCCACCGTGTGCCGCTCCCGGTTGAGCACGTAGACCAGGCTGTCCTGAAACGCAGACACCAGACCTCAGGGGCAGGACGCCACTCGAGCAGTTCCATCCCTGGTACCTAAGCCGCCCTGGGCAGCACACCCCCCCGCCCCCCCCGGAGCCCTTCCTGACCCGCTGCCTGCCCACATTGGGCGCCTATCCCATCTCCCAGAGCAGCCTCGGTGGCACACCAGACGCCCGGGGTGGGGTGGGGGGGAGGCTCCAGCTTTGAGACGTGAGAGGCCAGCCAAGGGCAGACCTGAACGTGGACACTGGTCTACTGACACGCCAGGCCCGCCTGCTCCGCCAGGTGACGGTGAGAAGCTGGGGAGGCGCCCCTCCTTTGTGCGCCGGCTCGGGGAGGGAAGATGCCTCCCAGGATCTGAGCTGCAGAGCCCTGACAAGGTCACACAGCGTGCGGGGAAGGTGGAGCAGGAAGGGGAGCGGGGGACACGCGGGTGAGCGAGAGGCCGGGAGGAACAGCAGACCTCCCCGGGGCAGCAGCACAGGCAGGGTCGGCGGGGTCGCCAAGGGCGAGCCCCTTCAGGCCAAGAGGCCCCCGACAAAAGTGGTATAAAATGCGGGCGCGGGGCGGGGGCCTGCGGGACTCCTCAGAGGAAGCCGCCCCGCACACGCCCGAGGCCGCGGGAGGCCTGCGCCCCAGCCCACGGGGGCCATTCCCCAGGGGCCCGCCAGGCCAGGCAGGAAGGGGGCCCAGTACCAGGTAAGACCCACGCTGGGATCAGTGAGTGAGGAGCTGGGGGAACCCCCTCCCAAGGCCCTGCTGCCGCCCACTGCAGCCCGGACGGAAGAATGTTCTGGAAGCAGAGGACGGGGAAGCCGCCACCCTCCTCCAGCGTCTAGGGCGGACCCAATGGGGTGCTCCCCCACAGCCCATTTCTCCGGCCCCCGAGCCCCCCGCTGACGTGGTCAGTAAGGAGCAGAGGGGCGGGGGCGCCAAGCCGAGAGCCTCCCGCACGCCCTGCGCGCCGCCGCCCCTCCCACCGCCTCGGGCCCAGGAGAGGGGCGCTCACGTGCTGCTGGCTGTAGCCCTGCAGAAGCAGCAGGTGGGGCGACTCGTAGAGGGAGCAGCGCATGGCGTCCTGGCCGGGCTCCTCGGGGCCCCGAGCAGCGGACGGCGGGGCGATGGCCGAGCCCAGGCTGGTCTCGCTGACTGTGCGGCGCAGCCGGGGTGGAGGGGGGCTCCAGGCTCCCCCGGCGGCTGGGGCTGGGGTTCCCTTGGCGCGGCTCCGCTGCAGTCTCCGGGCCTGGGCGTTTATCCCTGCGGCAGAAGCAGCGCGGGGTGAACAGATGGCTCGAGGCCGCTCCTAACACAGGTCGCGGCTCCGTCAAGCAGGCCTGCAGGCGGCCGCGGGACTCTGCCCACAGACCGCATCCTCGGAAGGCCGTGGCTCCTCCGGGGCTCGCTCCGAGAGCCAGGCAGCCCAGCCGTCCGAGGCCCCGGACGCCCCACAGGAGCCCGTGGCGCATCCCAGCCCCGAGACCAGCCAGCACCACGGCCTCCCCGCGGGATGCCAAGCCCACCACAGCCTTGACCCCCGCAGAGTCAGCGTGCTGGGGGCTTCGTGCGTACCATGCCGACCCCAAAACCTGCCCATCCCCTGTCCCGTCCTGGCAGCCCGTGTGTGCGTGCGGGAGCTCATTAGGTGACAACTGTTCATCATCCCCCCCCCCCCCCCCGTTTACAAGGAGGAAGCAGTCAACTCACCACGTCACTCCAGCCCACAGGGCCGGCTGGTCTCCATCCGGAACACGGCTGCTCCGTCCCGGGGCACCTCCAACACGGCCAGGCACACGCATGCACACATGCACACGCGCACACCCGTGCACACCCCACGAAAGCCTTACCCTTCTACACATAGGAAGCGCTCTTTTAAACTAATGCCGCGTGAAAGCTGAGAAGCCACACGGAACTCGAGGGCCAGTCTCCTGTCACCGTCCCCTTCCCCGGCTGACCCAGGCCTTCCTCTCTGAGCCCCCTGCCGAGGGCCCTCCACACAGCCTCTGTCTGCAGCATCCCTTCCTATAACCGTTCCAAACAAAACCAGACAAAGCCAGGGCAAGTGAGGTGGGCAAGCAGGGGCCGAGGGCGCCCGGGAACACCGACCTGCCTTCCAGAAGGAGAAGGGAGCCCAGTCCCCGGCAGCCCACAGGGAGCCGGGGCTGCAGGAGGGAGGCCGCTCAGCCGCAGTGCGAGCTGTTTGCCGGGCGCCTGCTGCTCCCCGCCTGCTGCAGAGCCGGGCCAGCGACCGTCAGGCAGGGCAGCGGGGCGGGGGGAAGGGGTGGGGGGAAGAGGGGCGGGTCAGGGGAAGGAGGAGGCTGAGGGCAGGAGGCAGGGATGGAGGAACAGAGGTGGGGGGCAGGTGGGGAGGCAGCCCCCAGCCTCACCAGTCCCGCCCCCCCGGTCTCACGGCTGGGGCATCACGGCACAAGCGGGGGCCCTGCCTGGAAGAAGACATTTAAAAACCAGTCCAAAACGACGCTCTAGCCCAGGCTTTTCCTCCCCCTAGGACAGGGCCGCAGGAGAGGATGCACCTCAGAACCACCTTGCACAAGTGCTGGGGCTCCCGGGCAGCAGCAGAGCCCATAAGGTCACCCTTTCCTCTTGGATTCCTGGGGGCCCCCAGAGGCCCTGGACGAGGCCCGAGCCAGCGTCCCTGGGACTGCAGCAGACGGGCGTGGGCGCACACTCTCGGCCGACTGGACACCGCTCCTCCGGCTGGGGTCCCGCGTCCCCTCGCAGCTGACCCCCTCCCAGGCTAAAGCAGGGGCTCTCGCCCCGCCCGCGCTCAGGGCCGCCTGGGGAGTTTGCAACAGCGTCCAGGGCTCATCCACGGCCCCTCAGGGTTGAAGGGCCAGGGCTGTCGGGAGGGAGGTAGCGGCAGCTCAAGGCCGGGGCCGCTGGACCGCCAACGCCAGCACGGCCAGCGTGCAGAGCAACCCACAAGGTCCAGCCGACAGACCCGTGCACACCCTGTGCGCAGCACAGCCACGAGGACCCTCACACGTGTGGACACCTGAGCAAGGAAGGCCCCTGAACCCCACGAAACCCTCCACGGGGACTATCCTCGCACAGGGCAGAGATGCTGCAGGGAAAGCTGGGCCCAGCCTGTACCCAGTGGCGGGTGGAAAGGCAGATGGGGAGCAATGGGTAGGGTGTGGGACCTCTGTTTACATGCTGAAAAGAGCACACGAAACCCCGCGGCATGCTGCTCATGGTGTGCGTATATGTGCAAGTAAAGCTGTTTTCGAAAACGGATAGAAAAGGCACACAGTAAGTTCAAGAAATGGCCGTCTCACAGGTGCGGGTCTGAGCCCGGGGAGGCACATTACATAACGTATTGGAGCTGCTAGAACACGTGTGATGTCACATACTGCACGTGATAGGACACACTTTATGGATCACTCTGTGTGATGTTTTACTCGTTTTATTTTTAAAAACTCTAAATGAATGTGATTAAAAATGTTTATGTCAACTCTGGAAGGCAAGTACTCAGGTGTAAAATAAAAATCATAAACACTCTGAGGTCCTCGCACGTGTGTAGGACTCTGCGGCTGCCCCGAGGTGGTCTGGGGGCCTGGGGGGGGGGGGGGG